AAACCCTTCCCTCTTCTACTTGCTTTTGGCCATGGTGTTTTATCACAGCAACAGAACCCTAACGAAGACAGGTCCTTTGGGAGATAATTAAAGTTTGGAGGAAGGTAGAGCCCTCGGGACGGAACTGGTGCTCTTGTAAGAAAAGATACCCGGGAGCTAGACCTCTTCCCACCTCCTCTCTCCCTCTCTCCACAACCTTCCTCAGCCTCCTTTCTCCCCCTCCCCCACTTTCTTTATAGAACACAGCAATAAAATAAAATAAAAAATAGCAAGACATCTGCAAGGCCATAAGAGGGGGTGACTCATAGGAACCCCATCATGCTGGGATCCTCCTCTTAGGTGTCCTACCTCAAAGCTAAAAGAGGATTCCTGTTGTTTAAGTGACTGCATCTATGGGACTGAGCTATGATGGCTGGAGGTAAGATAATTCCTATTTCAAAGCTTTTTTTTTCTAATCTGAGAAACATGACAGCATTTTTACTATCAAGTCTGTGTTTAAAATTAGATATTTATTTTTCTTATCTCCACATTCATATTAGATATTTATATTTAGAAAATCATTCAGTTCCTCTATGATTCCAGATTATACTGCATAACATATTCCATTCATTCTCTGAAGATAAGTGCTTCATCATTAGCTCTGAAATTCTATACATTTATTCTTTATATTGCCTATATGTATGTACTTTTTTACAATGGAAAAAGTAAGTTTATTGACATGTTTATACCTTTCATTTTAAAAAACAAATAAACAAAATTATAACAAAATCTTCTAGAAAATAAGCAGAATTTATGATAAGGTTTGGGGGCTTATCTATTTCAAAACTTTTGTAACATCTTACTACATCTTTGTAAGTAAAAATCCCTGCTCAGAAAGGTGCTTTATTGCCCAGCTTTTGAAATGTGTTCCACTGGGGACCAGAGAGATGGCTCAGTGGTTAAGGCGAAAGCAATAGTACCCAAGTGTGGTTCCCAGCTTATCAGGCATGGTCACAACCTTCTGTTAACTCCAGCTCCAGGGATTCTGATGCTTTTGGCCTCCCCCAGGTACACACGCATGCACACACACGCACATGCCTATTTTTAAAAATCATTAAAATGCATTTTATTTCATATATAATTGGATGAGCTAAGCAAAGACACCACATTTCCCATTTCAAAAAGCCCTACTTTCAGAGCAAGTATGTTTTTCTATGTTTCAATGACTCTTTCAAATCCTTTAGTTAATGAACTAGGACGAGCTCCTTTCTAAATAAATGAGACAGGTCTTGGTATTTCTCATGTCTCTGCTTGAGAGCAGCTCGAGCTTTCAGCCCGCAAGTTTCCTCTTCCTTCTTTCTCCATCTGAGCTGTTTGTCGAGCGGCAGAAGAGTAGATGGCCAGCTCTTCTCTGCTGTGTATCTCCACTTTACAGCACTGAACTGTTGGCCCACTTGTTGGCACTGAAGACAAAAAAAAAGAGTACCTCTCCACGATTTCACTTCCCTCCACTTGCCATACTAAAATCTCCAGAATGCACTGTTACAGGCTTGCTTTCTCCAGGTGGATAGTTACAGCTCTCTTTGCAAGAACAGCCTTCCCAGAGGCTCAAGCTTCCTGGAGCACGCTTCGAGATACAGCTTACCTCTCGTGGCAGATGGGTCTCTGTAGATTTTTTACCAAACCTACTTTATTTAGGGTTCTTAAGCACCTTTACCTCCCTTCCAACCCCTGCAACCTTAGGGAAGAAATCAGTAGGGAGAAGGGCTGTAGACCTCTTTTAGCTACTTCCTGCTGGTTAGGGTCAGTGGCTCATTAGGGGATTACCGGACTCAGTCATCAAGATACCAGCAGTCCAGCCCAAAGGCCAACATGAAGCAGTGAAAGCCAAAAGATTCAGTTAGATTGCCTGGAGTAGCTCTCTGAAACGTTTCTCCCTGCAAAGCCAAGTGTTGAAGCACGAAGATGAGTGCAGCAATGTTGATCCCAAAAGTGATGTCTCACTGTGTGGGGGCCTCTATAGGTGTGTGTGTGTCTACCCAGAGATGTTCTCAGTGGGCCAAAGTCAAACCCCTTACATGAGAGACCAAAACATCACATACCCTCTCACAAGCCCACCTGTGCAAAACATCATGACCAACCTGAGTCCAGAAACTTCCACTTCAGATCTCTATAACTTGAAGTGAAGGGACCAGTACCATTGGCACAAGACAACCCAAGACCTATTTCTCAGAATGAAGGAGATTTACTTGCCCCAGAGGGACAGAGGGCAGGGAACAAGAGACCAAGACAGGAGACGGAGGAAGAAGGAGAAGGCAGAGAGGAACAAGGGAGACGGGGAAGGGATATTTGTCCTGAGGCAGGGGGACAAAGAACTGGCACTGGATGTAGAGGAGACAGATGTGGCACATAGGCAAATCGCAGATTATAAAGGTAAAATTGGGAACCCCCTCCCCCACCAAGTTAGGATGAGTTGTTTAATTTTGATTGGGCTTTTGATTGCTGGACTTCAATACTTGATGGCTGGACCTTGGTAGTCAGCCTCAGGAAGAGGAAGCAGCCAAATAAGGGAACAGACCTTGGTGGCTAGCTTTAGGAATGGAATCTAATGATTCTTAGCAAGGCAGAGGGAATGCAGGAGAAGGGCAAAGCTTGCCAGAGCCGTGTTTGCCACGCTCAGGCTGGCTAGAGTTTCTTGATGAAGAAACTTTCTTTTGCCTTCTATGGTTTGATCCAGATCATCCTCCAAAGGGAACACATTAAAGGCTTATTTCCCAGTGTGGTGCTACTGGGAGGTAAAGGAACTTTGTGCTAGTTTGAATAAGAATGGTCCCCAAAGGCTCATATATTGGCTCAAAACTACAGAGGGGTTAGGAAGTATGGCCTTGTTGGAAGAAGTGTGTCACTGAGAGGTAGGCTTTGGAGTTCCAAAAGCCCAAGCCAGGCCCAATATCTCTCTTACTTCCTGCTGCCTGCAGATCCGGATGTAGAATTCACAACTACTTCTCCAACACCATGTCTGCCTGCATGCTGCCAAATTCCCCACCATGATAAAAGTAGAGTAAACCTCTGAATCTGTAAGCCAGGCCCAATTCAATACTTTCTTTGATAAGAGTCGCTGCAGTGTCTCTTTACAGCAATGGAACACAAACCTTTCAGAGGTGGAGCCTAGTTGGAAGGTCTTCGGTCATTAGTGAACACTGCCCCCCCCCCAACTCCACCCCTCCCCTCCACCACTGTCTCTTCAGTGCTGGGATGGAATCCATGGCCTTGCACATGCTAGCCAAGAACTCTACCACTGAGCTTTGAAGGATAAAATTAATTTCTTTTCCACCATGGGGGGGGGGGGGGGGAGAGTATAGAACCAGAAAGTTGAATTGGCCGAGTATGCCATAGATTTTAAATGTGTGCAATCATTTTAATGAAACAGAATATATTTGTCTTGAAGGTAGTTCAATTTGTCCCTGCATTTATGTGTACAATCACATCATTACCTCAGTCCCTTAGTCCCTGCACAATCACTATAACAAATATTTAAAGTAATGTTTTAGGGTGTTTTAAAACAGGGTTTCACCGGCTTGGAGCTCACTATAGAGTTCAGGTAGCTTTACACCCAGTGCTTCAGCCTCCTGAATGCGGATTCCAGACATGAGCCACTAGGGCTCTCCTTAAGACTTTTGGTTTGATTGTTTCTTTGTTTTTTGTTTGGGGAGGGTTTTGGGGGGGTGGAGTTTTTCTTTTTTAATTTTTTATTGGTTCATTGTGAATTTTGAATCCTATACCCCAGTCCCACTCATCCTCCACTCCTATCCACCCTCCATCCTTGCAAACCCCCCACGCAGACACACAACAGAGAGAAAAAAAACACTCTTCGTTGTGGAAGCTGTACTGTGTCACCGTGTGTCCCACAGTCTACCCTTTTGTCCTCACTTCTTTGCTTGCAAATGTTCACTGCAATGACTGCTACTCTATCAATACTGAAACTCCTCTTGGATACCTTGGTTTTGCCCTGTATCATGAAGATCCCATTGTTTTGGATCTGTGGGACCAGTCCCTTCATGAACTCCAATAGTTCATAGATGGGGTGGACCAAATCAAAGCACTGGAACTGGGCCCGAGAGGCATCTTGGGCTAGTCAGCCTGCCAGCTCTCCCACTCTCATGCCCTCAGGGCCAGCTCTACCCTGCTGCCCAGGCAAGGTGCAGGGCCCACTCTCCCAAGTGTTTGCAACTGTTAAGGAGCATGGCCATTTCTCCCACTCTCATGACCCTGGGGCTAGCTCTCCTGCCTGCCAGGATGGTGAGGAACTAGGGAGAGGAGGAGGATGTCTCTCCGTCATCCACACCACCACCCAGTGAACAAGAGCACTCATGCCCCTGGGGCTGGCTCACCCCCAACCTCCACATCCAGGGCCTGCTCACCTGCCTCTCCTTCAGTGTGCTGGGCCCCCTCTCCTGCGTACCACAGCTGGCTAGGGGCAGGGTCTCGTGCCTCTAGGGCCAGCTCTCCCACGATGCCAAGGTGAAGGGTGGGGCCAGTTCTGCACAGTCCTCGGGCATCAACATGTCCCTGTGCCACAGTCCAGACCAGGGACAGCTCCCTGGCCTATGGTGGCAACAGACCCCGGCTGCTGTAAGACCTGGTACCCAGACATGGCCTCTGGTGGCAGCACAGGCCAGGACCTCACCATGGGCCCAGGTGTCATCACTGGCTACTCACATCAGGCTGTTCCTCACTACCCTCGAGTCTCTGGTTCTGCCTTTCTTCATTGTGCACACATCCTTCTGTTTTACTTGCCTGGGGCCTTTGAGTGTCTGGGGTCATCTCAGGAGTGGTTTCAGGAGTGTTACATCCCCACTTGTGCATTATGGCACCAGGCAGGAGTCATCTCAAGCATGGTCTGTCCCCCCGCCACACACACCGGCCTGCACTGTCAGCATGGTGGTCTATCTCAGGCTAGCTCCCTGCCTGGGGCCCCTGGCACCAGACTGGTGGTCATCTCAGGCTCACTTTTTTCAGTGAATGTTAGGCTACTAATCATGCAGATGTCATTGGTCAGAACACAGTATAGACAAAGCCTCTCTCCTCTCTGCCCCCTGCTGAAGCACAGTGACACAGCAGCCACACTTGCAATGCCTCTAAGCGCTGGTCCCTAAAAGGTTTTATTTGAACTACCTATCCTTGGGAGTATGTAGAGGGCTAATTAACACTAAAGAACTAAGGGGAAGTATATGAAAACATGCTACTGTGGAGGCTTCTGAAAACATATACACATATAAAGAAGAGTTTAAGTAGAATTAGCCTATAACGGGGTGGTGGGGTGTTGCAGATAATGCCTCTCCTAGACAGCATAGGCAATCAAATAAAAACCTGGTGCCAGGAATGAGTTACCTCTTTTGAAGTTGTTGGTCAGTGGAGTCTCTAGACACCCTCTGTGACATTCCAAGATATTGCCATTGCGACCAGTTACCCTCCAGAACTTAATGGTGAGACCCTATTGCTGAAGATAGCGCATACTTAAGTCATAGAACGTAGAGAAATCAAGATGGTACAGACATGGAAATGTCATCCCTCCTGGAAAGCTTTCCTGGTGCTGAAAATTTCTATTCGTGCTTCTTGGGGAAGAGACATAATCATTAGCTCTACCCAGCTCTGAGCTGTGTGAGCTACATAGCCACAGATATGTCCATTCAGGCAATAGTGGAACAGATGTTATGTTAACCAAACACTTTCTGCTTGGAGTAAGGCCCACTTTACAAAACAGAACTCATACCTGGAGCTGTGAAATACATCCTATAAGCATGCTTGTCTGAGAATTAACAGCTGTGAATTTCAAGATCGTCTTCTGTAAAACATAGCTGTTGGAGGATTTTCATACCCAGTTTTAAGAGTTCCTCTAATATTTAGTAGTCAGGAAAAACAATTTGTTTTCTGTAAGCTGATGACTTTAACTAAAATTTTACTCTGACATTGGCTCATATTAAAACTTTTTTTAGTACTCAATTCATTACTGCCTTTGTTTCCTCTAAGATTTTGGTTCAGAAAACAAACACTTGCTGTTTAGGTACTACTGATTTGCAACATTTATTGAACTTTTTCTTTTCTACCTGAAATTTGACTGGAAAGATTCATTCCTAATTTGGCACATATTCTCTGCGTTACTTAACTCATTCCTGTGACCAAATTATCAGATAAAAGCAGCTTGAGTAAGAAAGGTTTGTTTTGGCTTACAGTTCTGGGGGAAAGTCGGTATGGGGGGGGGGTGTGGCTGAAGGAGGCTGGCTGTCACATTGTATCCACATCAGAAAGCAAAATGGTGAGTTCCTATGTTGGTTCACATTTACCTTTTCATTTAATAACCCCAGCCCATCAGATGGTGCTACCTACATTTAGGCTTTTCCACCTCAGCTATTCGTATAGGCAAACCCCAGGGATTTGTTTCTATGGTGACTATAAATCGCATCAAACTGACAATATTGACTAACACATTTACATACAGATTCTGCTTTCTGATTGGTAATGTTTTCTGCAAGGGTGCTATATTACATTCTGCCTTGTGGAATTTGCTGTTCTTAAGACCATAATACTAAATATGTAAACACACTAGACACCAAGAGTACATCACAATCCATGTTCATTGGCATTCCCATTCGTGTGTGCGTGTGTGTGTGTGTGTGTGTGTGTGTGTGTGTGTGTGTGTGTGTACACATATTTGGTGGTCTCTGAGTCTCCAGAATCTGTTTTTATTTTTTCCTACAAGCCAGAATTTCATGTTTAGATGATGAGAGAAGAAAAGAATAGTTCATGGTCTATGTGTCGACGCAACAGGTCATGAGTAAGTTGCTGCCTTTGCTCCTATTATCTTTATTTATTGGAGTAAGAACAGAAACAGGAGGATGTGGTCATCTGGGCCCTGTAGAGAAAGGACACTCTCAAGGGTAAGCAAACAGGCAGAAAGGTGGCCCAGTGAGAAGGGAGGTGGCCTTCTCTCCCTGAGGCCAAGGAAGTAAATCTGTTGGATCAGAAACGGGAGATTCCCAGCCTTCACTTGCTTGCAGTTGAGGTGATTTAGAATGACTTACGGAAGACAGTCCCAGTGTTGAGCTCTGCTAGGGATGAATGTGATAAAGACTGTTTCCAGGGATGGAAAGAACATGGGAAATGAGTTGCAGGAGGGCACTGAGTAGCACTCAGCCTTTCACTGGATAGAAGTAACTGCATCAAAAATCATTTCCAAGATAGGCACCTGTGATCCCAGCATTTGGGAGTCTGAGGCCAGCCTGAGCTACAGTAGGAAATTCTAGGATGGCCTGGACAACAGAAAATAAACAAAACAAATCACTTCCCATTTCCAAACAGTGGCTCTCAGTAGCTAGTGTGCATCATCAAAGTTAAAGTGACTTAGTCCAAGGCTCACATTTGCAATCCTTAAGAAGCCTTTCGTCTGTGCTGGTGGGGAAGCCAGACTCCAATGGGAAAATTTAGAAGGAAACAAAGTTGCTTAGACTCAGTCTGTGCAGAGTTCTTGAGATACACAGTATTCAGCTGTGTAGCTTTGAGTTCTCTGGAATGTAAGAATCTGGTACTTTTCCCAGGAATTAGGTAAGTGTGTTAAACTCCCAGTTTAAACCATTTGAATTTGGGGATAGTTCTGGTGGTAATGGTTGGAGCTTGTGACTCAGAAAGTTGCTGCCTATCTTGTGAAACCATGGCTCAAAATAAATTTCCCATGGGAAGGGTTTCACAGACAATAAAGGAAACCATTGTCTTCCTGTGTCAAATGAAATGCTCAGTTATCTGAGTGCCAAATAAATGAGCAAATAAAAGATAAAAGCATAGATGAGGCCATCCTTCAAATCTACAAAAGCAAAATAATTAAAAGTAAAGTGTGCGCTACAGTGGTAGTAATAGAATTTAATAATATATCTTAATTATATAAACAGAGAAACTGTTCCTCTAATGCCTGTAGTCCACAGTGGGTTTTTTGTTTTGCGATTTTTGCTTTTTTGTCTCACTGTGTAACCCTGGATGACCTGGAACTTGCTATGTAGACGGAGCTGGTCTTGAACCCCCAGAGATCCACCTGCCTCTGCTGGAATGAAAGGTGTGTGCCACCATAGCCCGACAGCCCAGTCCAGGGTTTCATAATAAACTGTGATGTATCCAAATGACAGAGGGAGGGGCTATACACACACAGCAATATCCCAATTTCAGAAACTCGTTCTGTGCTGAAGGCAGCCAGTGTCAGGAACGTATGGATTCAGGCATCAAACTGGCTCGGGCTGGAGAATTCATGTCTCAAGCCAGCTCCGGAGCAATGCTGCCCCTCCTTGCTTAGGAGAGTACTTCAGGACTGTGGAGGTTAGCATGACGGTTTGCAACTGGACCTCATGCTAGAATCATCCAGGGATCCTTTTTCTAAAAAATAAAATAACTGAAATCACAACAACTGGGGATGGAATTCGGGTGTCAGTATTTAAGTCCGCTGATGACTCCAAAGAGAAGTCGAACAGAAAACTGACAACCAGTGGCCTCAGGCCCCACCAGAATTGGTGATACTTGCTTCTCTCTATTAGGTTGGGTGGTTGGGTGGTTTTTTTGTGACTGGGATTTCTCTGTGTAGCCTTAGATGTCTGGCCTCAAACTCACAGAGATCCCCCTGCCTCAGCCTCTGCTGGGATTAAAGGCATACACCACCATGCCCAGCTTGTGGATAGTTGTTAAAACACTGGTTAGAGGCCTCTGTCCTGAGTTTCTGGGCTTTGCATTTCAGTGAAATGCTCCGGTGATGCTATTGCTCCTTGACCTGCACCTTGAGAACCAATGGGTGAAACCACTTCAACCCTTATGCACTTGGATTTATTAGGGGCCTGGTGGAAAACACTGATGTTAATGACACCTCAGCATCAACACTGACATTGAGGACATCTCAGCATTCCCCTTCCTAAGAGGCTCCGGGGACTTGAATTTAATAAATCTGCACTGGAGTCTGGCAAAATCATCATCATCATCATCATCATCATCATCATCATCATCATCATCTATAAAATTCTCCAGGTGATAATGATATGCAGACAAGGTGGAGTCACGGCAAAACCCGTGCCTCACCAAGCAAGCACGGTGCCAATGGGCAAATGTTTCATGTATGGTGTTTGCCTCTTCTGAGTTAAATATGACTTCTCCTTTTAAAAGGACTGTATCTTAACCATTATAGAAGACAGATACCTGTTGGAGAAAAACAAAACACATTAAAAAAATATAAAATCCTGATAGTCATTTGAATCGGAGAAATAGACAGGTTAAGGCAAGGGAGGGTCGTCCTACCTAATTCACTGCAACGCCCAACGTGAATGTTCTTATTGTAGAATAGTTGATCCACAGCCAGTCATGCCAACAGAAACGTCACAGCATTATTAAGAAAGCAACTCCTCTGTGAAAATTTACTCTCATGGCTAAATAAAGTTCAACCCTGATTAAACTCCCTGGCTCAGTGAAGAGTCTCTGAGTGTAGACAACACAGCCCGAGGTGAGGGTTTACTGACAGCTGACGGTTTAGAATTATGCAGGGTCATTTTTAAGAACACAACATGGGAATAGCTTGCCTGGTACAGACAGCGCGATCTGGGGTTAGGAGGTGGAAAGGGAGGCTCTCAAGTGCAGCCAGTCCCTAATAGGGGCATTCTTGTCCACCTCCATATCTGACCTAGAAATACGTTGGTAAATAATTAACGTTCTCTCTTAGCCCCACCCACCCCAAACAATGATGCTATTGCTTCTGGCAGCTGGAATAGTAAGTTGCCATCCATGACCCTTCCAGAAGATACAGTGCAAGTTACAGTTCTCATTCCCAGAAAGGCCTCAGAAACTCACACTGGGAAGTGTTTAGGGCCCGTCCAATCTTTTAATTTCATAATTGAGAAATCACTTCATATATTTGGTGGTAGAATGGCAGTAGCCAAAAGGACAAACAACTGTCAGTCAATGAAAAAGAAAACAGGCACTCGCATGCACTGTGGTTGGGGACCCTGAGCCGGGTTTGGGAGCCACCCAGGACTTCCTTCAAAAGCCAACCAGAAATTTACCTCCAAATGAGCGGCTCCACTCATAAGTCAGGAAGCCTGAGGGAACTTGCAGAGCATTGTTCATAAT